TGCAGGTATGAGACAGATTTTTTTTAATTATTAAGGGAGGAATATGGTGGCAAAATACCTTAATCGCCGTTATATATATATTTTTTTAACATTTTGCATTTGCTCAGTTTTTAAATAAATAGGTGAGTATTTTGTTGTAACATCGAAATTCTGAATCACTTTTAATAAAATAATTATATAAATATTATAAATGGCCCACGAAAACGAGCGTATAAATCAAAACAGTACTATTTTAAATTATCATCGGTAACCTTGAATATTTAAATGTGCAGAGAAAATTATCAGTTACAAAAATATAGTTTTGTCGTCCAAAGCGATCTTCATTTACCTAATCAGAAATGCCCTTATTAAAATATTATAAATCTCACAACGTATTTATATAATTCTTAAGCTATTTGACCAACGATGTTTAAAAAAAAAATAACAGAATCAATCTAACGTCAACTTTCCTTTTTTAAATGGTGACAGAACGGCGAAATCAATTTTCAATGTGCTTGATATCTTGTACCTTTGTAAGACTTATCATTCATTCATAAACCCACTCTAAACCAGAGACATATATACGTCTGTTTAAACTGACAAGAAAACTCCTAAAGCGGGCAAGCAGTATATTCTGTAAATTTCTGAGATTTAATACAAAGAAATAAAAAAAATCCCGAAATGAATTTGATCCTGGAAAATATTCACATCCTCATTCGGTCTGAAAAAAAGATACGAATTTGGTATACAGAACATGCAGAAGTGTGAATGTTATAAAACCTAATTGTTATATCAGAAACCATTATAAATATGAACATGTATACGTAAGACGTCATGGGACGTCACCTAACCACATTCAGGTAATATACAAGTAGCTCTGTTATACCCGGAAATGTCAAGGTTAATCATAGATAGATAGACATGACCTCAGACCCCCCCCCTTCCCCCCCTCCCCCCCAAATCGAGGAACAGTATATCTTACAATGTGTATATTCCTGCAAAAATAAAAATAAAATGAGAAAAAAGAAAGAGATGAACGGTAAGTCACATCAGATTCAGATATTTATATAGTTGCTTGTCGTTAAATAGAGATCTAGTGTATACATGTCTCTGCGTTAACTTATAAAAATAACAGGAAATAATAAACTTGAAATAGATTTATGATGAATACTTTGAAACTGCGACACCCCTTTTTATCACAGCGTACATGCATGCATTTAAATGACTGTCCGTTATGCGATTTAGAATGACAATCGTACGTACAATCCTATAGTTCATGGTGAGTCATTTTCTATCAGATATGCGACTTTTCGTATTTATATTTTCTCTTATATTACCGGTACTGTCATTTAATATCTAATGCATAAGTGCAATATTAAGAGTGGTTAAATCCCCTACAAGCTAACTAAATATATAAATCAACCCTCTAGCTGACCAGACGTTAATACAACTACCATCAGTCTATCCGGAGCGGTACGTCTAAACACTGCTAAGGAGTCCTTAGTGCACTAAGGACGTTTACTATGCCACTAAGGATTAGATGGGGTGCTGTTACATGTATTATTTTTCCATATTAAGTTAGAAATTGATATTTAATGCATAAATTAAAAATTTTATAGAAAAATAAACACAAATAAACGAGTTATTAAGCATTGTTTAAGCACGTGCCCATTTTTCTTTGATATGCCGAAAATCAGTGAACCGATTGACACGTGCCTATAACATAACAACTGAATAAACAATCATAATCTTTTTATTTTAAGTAATTAACAATGGTATCGAAAAGATTAATGCTTAATAATTTATAATTAAATATGTTGTTCTTATTTGCAATGATTAAAAGGACAAAAAAATTTATTTATTTTTTATTTCTTTCTCGACAAAGTTATATTTGCCATTTGTGCACGACTTTGATGTGCGCCGACTAATAAGTTAAGAGTGTGGTCAGCTTGTTAAATGTTTATGTAAGAGCATGGAAGTAATATTTAGAGATACCAAGACAAAAGGAATAGATATATTTATAAGTTTTTTGTTTTAATTTTAATTCCGACAAAGATGCGTGTTTCATTAAAATTTATGAGTAAATTCTGAAAAAAATATAAAAACCTGGTGTTTGCTTTTCCACTTTCTATTACTGCTTCATACTTAGTACGAATTACGATTGAATTGAAAAAAAAATCATGTGACGTCCTTCGGGTTATTCAAAACCACTAGTGTTCAACCAGTTTGATAGCTGTTTACAAAGGCTTCATACCGTACTTATTTTTTTTGTAATTGTCGACATTTGTTTTTTTCTCAAAGTATATATAAGAAGTTTAGATATCATTATCGAACTTTGAAGTTTCATTTTCAAATATATAAAGGAGACAAATGTTTTTTTTTAAATGTTCCACAGTTTTTAGCACATTATTTACGAAAATTATCCCGTATGTGTTGATTTAGAGCTATAGATATAATTTTGACATTAAAAGGTTATGCTTCGTACGAATGCCTTGAAAATATGCTTTTTCATGATGTGAAAATATGCTTTTTCATGATGTGAAAATAATCATTTTTTGTAATACAAGATTATTTGAATACTTTATACCTAAATCTATCAAGTGTAAAAATGAAAAAAAAACAAACAAGGATTTGTGTAGTATATTACTATACAAATCCTTGAAAAAACCAACAGAAATATTTTCAAATATAATTTCTTTAAATCTATTTTTTCTTTAAGAAGAACAAGTATGTCAGAAGGAAATCCGATTTGTATTTTTTTAACCAAATTGTCTGTTTAAGATATTGTATGAAATAATGACTATGTTGTATGTGCTTTACTCATTGTTGAAGGCCGTACGGTGACTTAAAGTTATTAATTTCTGTGTCATTTTGTTTCTTTTGAAGAGTTGTCTCATCGCCAATCATACCACATCTTCTTTCTTATATTGGTTGCATGTAGTAAAAATTTATTATCATATTGAATTCGTTTTTGTCCAGTAATACATTGCTTAACGTCTTCATATATGAAAATAAATTTAGATATATTGCTCTGGAAACAAATCTATTATTTACAAGAAATAATTACAAAATACTCTTGAGAATCTGAAAAAAAAACATGAATAAAATTTTAACAACTTATTCAGTGCGAAGTCAAATCAAAAATGATCACTGAAATATAATCTTAAAAACTATTCATTTATTAGTTTCCAACTTTTCCAATATTGTCTATTAAACACAACAGATAGCAGGATTCCCGTGTAATCAGTTATGTAATTTGACACGTGTCTAACGGTTCATTGATTTTCGGCATATCAAAGAAAAACAGGCACGTGTCTAAACAATGTTGAATAACTCATTTATTTGTGATTATTTTTCTATAAAATTTGAAATTTATGCATTAAATATCAATATCTATAATAATATGAAAAGACATTACATGTAATAGCACCCCATCTAGTCCTTAGTGGCATATCATAAGTCCTTAGTGCACTAAGGACTCCTCAGCAGTGTTTAGACGCACCCACTACCATCAGTCTATCCGGAGTGAAGTTTCTTTATTTCTTCAAATAGGCTTTTGGGGATCATTAGTGCACGTCCAGTGGCATATATATATAACATGCATGTCGGACCAGGAAAATGTGATGATGACGAATTTCTTAAACTGTTCGAAATAATCTTATTGAAATATAAATCTGTGATTTTACTATGTCTTTAGCTTCGATGAACCAAAGCAAGTTAGAAATCGACCTGTATTTAAATCAGATTAGTTCTGGATGTTTCTCTCGTATATTCAATATACTTGTATGATATTAGTTCTATATTGCGACTATTCATAGTTCCGTATTAAACCTTCCATCTAGGCGTATAAACCAATGATCGACAAGTGCCGCACATTTTGTTTAATCAATATTTGTATGTTTCAAAATGTCCATAATTATTGACAACGAGTATATACTTACATTTTCCCCAATTTACCCTTGGAAAATGTGTAAATAGATTTTTATTTCATCAAATCTTTTTTTTTTTAATTATTAAAATTTTCTTAAATATCATTCTTTACACCAAAAATGTTATTTATAAACAAGCGTATATATGAGTTTAGCAATGACTAGTATATCACTATCGGATACGCTATACAAAGTTGTATATTACACCTGATAGATTCAAAATGGAAGTTACATGTTATCGGCCGTGTACACTGATCAATACCCCCAGAAAAGAAGTGATGCACGAACTTGTTTTATGTAATTGTGTAATAACAGTTTTAAAGCCCGACAGGAAATCGCTTGAATACCTGTACGTGTCACCTCACAATACCTCTGGGAACAATTCCTTTAGCCATTCTGGTGATCAGATAAGGGAAGGTCCGAATTTATTTTAAAAAGTTTATTACATAAAACAATTATGAACAAACTAGATTTTCAAAAACAATTTTACACGGAACACTTATTTATAACTTTGACTTTTTAACTAATTTCAATTTCTTGTTTTAAATACTTCGTAAACAAAACAGTTTCAAAACGACAGACCATACTATTAGTACTAGTTATTTAAAAAATAATATATATAAAATTACATTTTCCGTATCAAGTTAGTTAGGAAAGGTTGCACAACCATGTCTATCATAATCTTTTTTGTGACCCGGGAAACTGTTTATGCTTTCCTTGTCGGATAAAACAACCGTACGCTTGACAAGATATCGACACTCAATGACGGCTACGTTAGGTTACTGCTTGTTTTGGTCCTTTGTGGTTTATAGATATATCGAGGTCAATATTCGGGGAGGATGTCAAAATGGCCGCATGCGGAGAATTGATACTCTAAATTTAAAATCGATGGTGATCTCTTAACTTGCAGAATAAAACTTTAATATCTATGAATTTGTGCTTTTTTATACATAATGAACAGAATATGAATTTTTCATTTTTTTGCGAAGTTTCCCTTTAAGCAAAACCCAAGTTTTTATGTTTGAATATCAAAATTAAATAGTCAGATGCATTAAATATTTAAAATATCTGGAAAAGATATAGTAGTCTTACCTGCATCTCCCTTCACAAGAAAAGAACAACAAAAAACAGATATCACAACAAAAGCCTCAGCCTTTAACAGAGACATTATTTTAATGTTATCTAATTAGATAGACTATTCATCGTTAAGATAAACATGTACGTATATTTATAGCGACTTTAATTTGTCATCATGTTTTTGATACTATTTAAATTTTTTTTATTAAGGTTTTCTTTCATATGTCATGATTCGTTTCTTCTGGAAACAATTAAATTTTGTATGATGTATACAATAAATGTAATCACAGTTACCTCACTGTTAAACACTTTTATTTGTTGAATTCATTACATCATTCTAGACTGATTAAACTCATTATATATCCTATATTCTAAACTATTTTGTCATTGCAAATCACAGGAGTAATACTACATTTTTATATAAAGTCAAAAAGAAATGTATATGTGCTTGTTAATATCAGACAGACTGACGTTTATAAATTAAACACTGTGCGGGACAAATTTGCAATTCCAGAATTGGCAAATCTGACTTTGTCGGTTTACAAGATACCAAAAATATTTTTTGCCCAAGTGATAGATAATCAAAAAAATTAAATTTCCCCATATGTCCCAACATGTCACCGTTGTCACTGTTGTCACCACAGCTGATTAAAAGTACATTTCCCATGGGAAATTAAAAAATTCCCATGGGAATATTCGAAGTTCCCATGGGAAAAGTTAAAGTTCCCATCGGAAAAAGTACTTTTTCCATGGGAATTTTAAAGTTCCCATCGGAACTTTACAGTTCCCATGGGAAAAGACGAATACAGAGAGTTCCCATGGGAATTTAACTTTTCCGATGGGAACAGTTTATCTTCCCATGGGAACAATTTTTCTTCCCATGGGAAAATTTGTCTACCTATGGGAACAATTTTTCTTCTCATTGAAACAGATATTTTTTTGTATGGAACATGTTTTCCGTTTGATTGCTTTTCTCCTAGAAAAATAAAAATTTGTTGAAAATGCAGGATTTATGTTAAATTATTGCAGTATGCAGGTTTTCTACAAAATGTCAATATGGTTTCATATCTAAAGCTGCTCTCAACATGCAACTTCCATAAAAACTCTGATTATCCTGTTAAATATGAAGCAATGGCATGTAAGTTTTAAATAAGTTGTGCGTGTGTGTTGTGAATACAAATTTCTATTATTGAACTTATTGGAAAATAGATAATAAATGTTTAACAACTTTTTTCCGGTGCTTAGAAAAACCTCATTTAAATTTTTTTTTTTTTGCAAAATACAAGACCCATAAAACAACAACACTATAACCATGATAACATGCTGAGATAATATATTCAGTTACAATCTGTATACACCTGCGTAATTAACGGGTTCTGGTTGAATGAACATGGATTTCGATCGATTACACACAGATGACGATCAATAGAGTGTGGCACGTGTCGTTAAAACATTTACATGGGAAAGATAAATCCTCATCTCATCAGCCGTAAAGGACAGTTGGTTCACAAAAATCAGATCTTTATTAATTAAATACAGCCTACCATCAATCTTTAACATTTTAGATGAACCACCTCCAAAATTAAAATGGAAGAACTCTATCAGGAAAGAGATTGACACCTTCTGGGTTGAACATGTGATTACCATGTCTGTCTACTACAAGAGTATTTCATTTATTTCTACATCCAATTTTAAAACTGGTCATCTACACAATGCTTTAGCAAGTGTCCAGACTTCTGCAAAAGACATCCAGCGTCTCCCCATCAAACTTAGACTCCTTACTGGTACATACATTCTCCAATGTAATAGAGCAGCTTTCAATCAAGTTGACATCAACCCAACATGTCTCTTATGCGAGGAGGACGCTGAAACATTAGACCATTTCATTCATTCATGTCCTGCTTTAGCAACTGCTAGAAACTATCGCCTGCTTGAACTTTCAAATATTATCAATAAAAGCGAGCTCTGTCCGAAATGTAGAACATTAGAAAAACTAGAAATTAATACACAACTAATATTGGATGCTAGTGCCTTGCTCTGTAACTGTCAATGTAAATGTGGATGTACAGATTTTCTTTATCTTGTAGAATACATAAGTAGAAAACTTTGCTTTGCTTTGCACATTAGACGTAATACAATATTATTAACATTGCCGGTGAATAAAAAGAAAGGATTGCTTGCAACCACTCAGTCAAAGGCGTGAATATTTAAAATCTAAATTATCTTTTGTTTTAGATTTTAATAGTGTAATAAACATTTAGTGGGTGTTAAATACACCATATCCTACTCTGTAACCAGAGGTGTGCCTTTGAAAGGCAGGATCTTCATACAAGACAAGACATGGTAATTACTAAAGATGTGATTATATAATTTGGAATTATTTTTTAATTTTTTTAATTTAAAATAACATAGCCTACTTTTATATTTCATGTCCTTTGTGGCAACTGTATCATCACATCAAGTCCCTAGTGCGTATTATTGAGGTGGTCATTTGTGGTATTTCTACGGACGTCTTTATTTCAATATTTTGATTCCTTTCGTATTATTATATTTTGTATAGGCAGTTTATGTAGATGAATTACAAGAACAGAAAAAAAGTAAATTGAAGTCATATTATTAGTCTCCGTTGTGTTGTTTTAAAAACTTAACATTGACATGGATTAGTGATTTCTGTGACATATACATGTACATGTACCAAATGTACAAGTTTGTTACTTGAGGTTTTTTTTGTGTGACTTATCTTCGTTTTTGTTTTGTTTTTGTTCAAACACATTTTATTTTCGAAAGTAGCATATGGGATTGAACACAAAATACATAAGATAATAACGAAAAACAAAATAGAAATAGATGTAATACAAACTATAAACAAAAACGAAAACGCAATATAATATTTTTGTAATATGAACTGGCGTGAAAAGTAGGAAGTCAGAATTTTAATTGTATGCGAAGTTCTGAATCTTTGTGTAATTCTGATATAAGGTTGCACAGATTCAAAAGTTGCTTTACTTTGCTGAAATGTATAAATGTCACCGTGAACAGCTCAATTGGTATAACATATCTTTTTAAAATCAAAAACAATATTTCTCTTGCTTTATTGTGAAATGGGCACTCGAAAAAATTGTAAATACAATCCTCAACAGCATGGCTACAGCTGCATGCGGGATTTAGTTTAATATTAACACAGATCTGCATTTAAGGAGCTTCGCATACTTCTGAGCCATTAATGATATTAAGTTTTCTAACACCACAACTAAAGAAGAATGGTGGATGTTTTTAGATTTCTGAAAGTCCATATGTCGGGGTTTACAATTCCATTCAATAGAAGTAGATGGGAAAATAAGATGTTTTGGTTATATCTAGTCTATGACGCGGGGTACTACATAGTTGTTACTAATTCGTAAATCATAATTTGAATTTGACCAATAATTGGGAGCATTAAATCGCAGAGATAATCAAGGGCAGTCTCTTTATGTAAAGAATATAACACAATGAGCTTTCTTGGCTTTCTTCTGTCTACTAGCAATTTCCGGCCTATTTCGAGGTGTCAGACCACCAATTAAAAATCCCATCTGTTCAACCAAATTTTTCAATTTTCACAGCTTTCTAAATATTTTACCTTAAGTATAACTTCAAAGAAACCAGGTATATCCTGAATTGTACATGTATCACCTTTCTACATGCTAATTTCAAACCCAGGTTTGAAGTCTTATAAGAAAATTCTGATCTTGAAAACACAGGTACTATCAAAATAACTCCCGGTTTTCTGGAAATCTTAAATTAGTATACTATGTAGCGCATTAATCCTGAATTTTTAATGCAAACTCATACACTACCAACAATTTGCCTAACGTTTACATGTACATTAAATGCCGCTATATAAATAGTACTTTTAGGAATCATAACTATTCAGTACATTAAATGCCGTTATATAAACAGTACTTTCAGGAAACATAAATAATCAGTACATTAAATGCCGCTATATTTACAGTACTTTTAGGAAACATCGCTAATCAGTACATTAAATGCCGCTATATAAAAAGTACTTTTAGGAAACATCACTAATCAGTACATTTATTTATATATCATTTTTAGTAATGTTGAGAAAAAATTGTTTTCAGTACTGAAAATTTCGGTCATTTTTCAGTACTGAAAAGTTCAGTCACTTTTCAGTACTGAAAATTTCATTCATTTTTCATTACTGAAAATTTTAGTCATTTTTCAGTACTGAAAATTTCAGTCATTTTACAGTACTGTAAATTTCAGTCATTTCACAGTACTGAATATTTTAGTCATTTTTCAGTACTGAAAATTTCAGTCATTTTTCAGTACTTAAACTTTTTGTCATCTTTAAGTTAAGCTGAGTTTAAGTTCTTCTACACATACAACATTAGGTCAATGTCAGAAAAATATAAAATGTTTGTATGAGGCTGAGAAATGGGGGGGGGGGGGGGGGGGGGGGTGGGGGGGGGGGGGGCGAGGTTTTACTGAGCACTTCCCCAGTTTTGTGCCGTTTTATATCTTTGACCTAATATTGTTTTTATACTGCAACTTAAATTAATACATTGATAGCTTTTTAAATCGTAACTATTATATAATAATAACATAAATATCAAAGTTATTTTTATCCCCTAATGAACCCCTGATTGTGGAGAAAGTGTTCCATGATGAAATTGACATTGCACAAAATATAGAAATCAACGACAACGGAAGCCCGCAATAGAACGGTGTTTTAATCTTTTGCTGACGACAACTTCAAAATCTACCAGCACCAGGATTCTTTAAGGTAAAGTTACGAAAAGTAGTTCACATTTCATTTGGTTAGTATGGTATGGTGGTCATGAAATTTAATATGGTGTTCAAACTTGGGGCATTTTAGTTGCGTGCAAGACAAGTCCGCTCTGGGACAACTCGGACCGTCTCAAAAAAAGACAACTCGGACCATCTATAATGACAACTCAGACTAAGTTAAGGTATAAAATTAAACTTTGGAAGAAATAAATGATTTAAGGAAAAATAGAGTCTGAAGAGAAGTATCTAAATTGATACTTTTTTTATTCCAATTTTGAGTATATATAAAATTATAACGTCAACTAGGAGCGTGTTTTTTTG